CCCTAGGTGTTATAGCTCCCCCCCATCCCCCCATTGAGCCTACATATCAAAGGGCTTTGAAATGTTGATTGTTAACCAACCTGGGTGTTTGGTGTCTACCCCAGTGCAGAGTAGGGGGGAAGACTGGGCGGCAGCAAGATGGGGTGCAGAGAAACTAGCCAGGGGCACAGAAGGAGAAGAACGTAGGCACGTGGAGAGAGAGAGAGAGAGAGAGAGAGAGAGAGAGCACGCGCGCGCGCGAGAGCTCGAGAGCGCAGAGGCTGCAAGAGGGAGTGGGAGAGACAGGAGGAGACGGGAAGGAGGGGAGTGTGAGACTAGGATGGGGTCTCAGAGACTGGGGCAGGTGCGCGGGGAGAATGGAATCAACAGTAGAGGGCATCTCATCACCACCAGCCTGGCCCTCCCTTCCTCCTTGTCCACGCGTGGCCGGGGCGCCCGGGTGGGGGAGTGGTGAGAGAGAGAGATTGCTGCACTGGCTCCCTAGCCGCAGGGGGTTACACACTGCGTCACACCATTTGTTTGTGTCCCTCACTCCAAGTTGGCTTTTGTGCAGCTGGAAAAAGCTGCTGAGACCAGGGATCACAAGACAGGACAGAGCTTCCAGGGCTGGGACTGGTTCATGGAGCTGCCCTGGAGCGCACGTCCTGAGGCCTACACACTCACACTCACATAACTCAAACTCTTACACTAACACACACCCCTTCACACACATATTCGCACTCATACATTCACACACACTCACTCACATAACTCACTCTTACACTAACACACTACACTTTCACACACACATATACTCATTCATTTACACACTCACACATAACTCACACACACACTCAGACTCAGAGTCACACACATACACATTCACATGCACTCACACATCTACACATGCGTGCATGCACACACTTTTTTTGGGTAAAATTCCTTTTCCCTGATCCCTTTGCTGCTTCCTACTATGACCCCTGAGTGATACACACACACACACACACACACACACACACACACACACACGGTGCATTGCCTGCACACTTGATTGTGATGCCCCAGGAGAGGCCATCAACATATACCTGATTAAAGTATAGTAGATGACACCTTTGTTGTGGTGCTGGGTGATGAGCTGCTGGCCTTGTGCGGGCATGGGGGGACGGTGTTGGAGGTTAACTTGATGCCCCGCACTGAGCAGGGGCCCCACCCCCGCACACAGCCCCGTGCAGGGTCAGTACCGAGCAGTGCTGTCCACTCTCGGGGCATTGCACACAGCAGCCTCTGCTCCAGCCGCCTCCCCTCCTGCTCCCTCATTTACTCTCAGGTCTTTGAGGAGTATTTGAGTGTGTTCTCAAGATCCAGAATTGTCCTTTGCGTATTTAGAGTCTCGGTAAATCTTGTGCTTCTGTTACTTTAGACTGAGGTGAGCTCATAGCAGGGCTTAGTAGCCACTGCATGAGTAGATGAGTGAAACGATTATGGGAGATGCAACGCGTGCTGATGTCATGTGTCAAGGTGAGGCGCAGGTACGTGGAATGATAGGAAAGTTGCATAGTTTGCTTTGCGGTCAGAAATGAAATATCTTGATAAATGAAATATTTTCAGATCTAGATTTGAGTTATGAATGATTAGAATCAAGGGAATGGCTCCTTCCTTCCTTCCTTCCTTCCTTCCTTCCTTCCTTCCTTCCTTCCTTCCGTTCTCCTCCCCTCCCCCCATCTGGACGTGCCCAGGGTCTACTCCTGGCTCTGTGCTCAGAGGTTACTCCTGGCAATGCTTAGAAAGATCATACTGGGCAACAGCGATCAACCCGGATCAGCCACACACAAGGCAGCTGCTTCCCCTGCAGTACCAGCAGCCCTCTGGCCTCTGCTTTGTTTTTTAATTCTGACATATTTTCTAGTGTATTTGCTTTATTGATACTTCACTGATTGTGGTTCTGAACCCCAGGAAGGCATTCTTCAGATATCACACTTGCTGAGGCCTGTTTTGATTTGTTATACTTGCATTTATTTTAGGTGAGAAGTAGCAGTGAGAACTTGATTTTCTTTTAAAGGCAGTTTCCAAGGAAAGAGTAGACTGCTTAGGGTGGGTTCTTCTGTCAGGCTTACAATTTCCATGTTTTTATTGTTTCTTCTTTCCTTCTTTGGGCCAAAGAAAGCTAGCTGAAGTTTTCCAGACTTTGAAACTCATTTCTTCTTGCTATTTGACCATCATTATATGTTGCTTTATTTTTTTAGAGTTTTGCATTTACTAACATTTTTTCTATATGTGCCAGTTGTGTACAGTCACATTGTATATAGAAAAAATTGCTTTTATTGCATTATAGGTGATAAACCTACTGGGATATTAAATACAGTGTAGCTTGCTGTGGGCCTGTTGACAGTCGGTATGATTTTGTCTACTGATAATTCTAGGCTCGGGTCTCTTTTCATAATATTGAAAGTGTGACTTGTATTTGGAAAGCTAGTAATTCACATTATCTACATATGTGGAAATAATGGAAAGGTTCAGATATGTGCATTAATATTGTCTATTTTGCTTACGCATAAAGATTCTTCGGTTGTAGCAAAACCATTTACAGTCTTCTGTTTCTTATTGCTATGACTACATTTTATGTTTATTCTTTGCAGTAAAATCAGACAGACATGTCTGAGCTAGTTTTCAGGGCCCTGCCAAATAGAACAGAGTAGTTCAGCAACTATTACCAATTTTCTCCTGCACCATACGCAAGTAATTGTAGTTCAATAAATATCAATTTGAGATGGTAACGTGTCTGATTTTCAGAAGTTTGTTTTTCATGATTTTACTGCTCTACTTTATCCCAAATAATAATAGCCAAGGAAGTGGTAAGAAAACCTTAAGTAATGGGCCCAGGAGATGGTTCGTGGGCTGGAGCATGTTCTTTTTTGTTTTTAAATTTTTTTATTAGTGAAACACCGTGAAGTACAGTTACAGACTTACAAACGTCCGTGCTTGCATTTCAGTCATACAGTGGTCGAGTACCCATCTCTCCACCAGTACCCATTTTTCACCACCAATGGACCCAGCATCCCTCCCACCACCCCACCCCAACCCCCACCACCCCTCCCCGCCTCTGGGGCAGGCATTCCCTTTTGCTCTCACTCTCCCTTTGGGTGTTGTGGTTTGCAATAGTGGCATTGAGCGGCCATCATGTTCAATCTATAAATGGAGCACATTCTTGCCCACTTTCTTTACCGGAGGATGCCCCAGGCTCAGTGAGTGCCTCGCCCTTCCTGGTCTCCGCCCCTCTCCCACCCCAGCACTGCTGGGTGCAACTCAAAACCCAAACCAGACAAATATTTGAGAGTAAAGCCAATGGCTTGCATGCTTGAGACCAGGGCTCAATCCCTGTCACCTCTTCCATATATATATTTTTTATATAAATGTGCACGCAGACGCAAAAAGTCACTAGTGCTGTTCTCGAATGTAATAGAATTGTTAGGTAAGTATTTTCTTTTTCTGTCAAGAGTCTCCTTGATTTGCAATCTCTCACTGCCTATGTTCCAGAATTTTTTTTGGGTGGGGTCACACCTGGAGATGCACAGGGGGTGCTCCTGGCTCTGCACTCAGGAGTTAACTCCTGGTGTTGCTCAGGGGACCATATGGGATGCTGGTAATCGAACCCGAGTCGGCCGCGTGCAAGGCAAACACCCTACCCGCTATGCTATTTCTCCAGCCCCATTTCAGAAATTTTTGAAGGCTTCCAGTTTGTTTGTCCATCTGCAATTCCTGGTTTGTGTTAAATTTTCCTAATAAAACCTCTTCGTTAACCCATGTCTACCAACTTTACATTTTAACCATAGAGTGCTTATATGATTGGTTTTTAAAGCTTACAAATAACAAATTGCTCACAGTTTGGGGCCTAGAAACCTAAGCTCAGAGTATCTGATGAGAAGCCTCTTCCAGATGTGTGTTTCTCACACATCGGAGTGGTCAGAAATTTTTCATGTATTTCAAAGCTAGTTGAATTAAAAGTTTCCTCGATTTAAGATTCTTGTTGTCTTGTTTCCTTTTTAGTTTGCTGTCACTCCTGGCTGTGCTTTGTTGGACCTGGTCAGCCATATGCAGGGCGAAGTGGATTGTAATTCTGGCCCGATTCTCGTGTTTTAATTTCAGGGATATATTGGAAATGCAGCTGTTAAGAGTGGATGATTGATCATTTGTACTGATGAAGAGTAGCTGTAGTGGTTGTAGAATTGTGGTGTGGTTTTTTTTTTTTACCCCAGAGGAAGTAAAGTAAGTAAAGGCCCTCCCGTTGATCATCGATTTGCTCGAGCGGGCCCAGTAACGTCTCCATTGGAGACTTTGTTGTTACTGTCCGTAACTTTTCATATTATTGAAAACAAAGAGCTAGAGATATCCTCATGACCCCTCAGTATTTCTGATAGCCTTTTCCATTTATTACACAATTAGCATCTTATTTTGTAAATAGCAGCAGCCTGTGTGATTCATGAGGACATACTTGGTGATGGTTTGCTGTGGAGGACAAGAGCATGCTGGCGGCTATAATATTGTCGAAAGTGTTGGATTTAAAGATAATTTTCTGTGTCACTCTGTCTTACCTTTTCTTCTGATTGAGATTACTTCTTCGAATTTTGTGTCTTACGGTATTTTGTAAACCGGAAGTTGGGTGTGATGTCGCATTTATATATTCTAGTATTTTGTCTCTGTTTTTGAAAAGAAGACTTAATTTCATTCTTTTTTGTCCTTAACCTCAGTTTCCTTTATTTTGCCAAACCTTACATTCATCAGTTCTAGGGCACCTCCAATGTCTTCCCAGGTTTTGGTGGATCTTAATGTATGCCTCAGTTTACATATTCTCGTTTCTCATTTCCAGTTGCCTGTTACTGAGTCATCCTACACACTGTGTAGTTGTACACATACACACTCACCGGGACCTCAATGTGTAGGTTTAGCCGAGGGTTAAACGTGCAATGGCTTTTTATCCAGTGGACTTTTTGTTTATTTCTAAAATTGGCTTTTTTTTTTAACAGATAAGTGTAAAGCAGGAAATTACTTTTACTGATGTATCTGAGCAACTGATGAGAGACAAAAAACAAATCAGAGAGCCAGTAGACTTACAGAAAAAGAAGAAACGGAAGCAACGTTCTCCTGCAAAAGTAAGAGACGGCATTAAGGTGGTGGCTCCTAAGCGCTTAACCCCAGCTCTTGGCGGATCTTACGGACCTGACCCTGCTGGACCGTGAGGCCGCCAGCGCCCTGTGCCCGGCCTAGTGAGCTGGAAGGCGGCACGCTGTGGCCACGGCTTAACTTCTCTCACTTCTCTTTCACTGTGTCTTTTCCCCATGTGAACCTTTTCTTTCCCCTGACTCATTTCTTTGAGAACAGTGCCGTTCCGGCCGAAGCAGCAGTACAGTGGGTTGGTGGAACGTGGTCGACCGGGGTTCGATCCCCAGCACCCAGTGTCATCCCCCAAGCCCTGCCCACAGTCATCCTTGACCACAGAGCCAGGAGTAAGCTCTGAGTACCACAGACTGTCGCCAAAAAACAAACCGGCAAACGGAAACCCCAGTGCCCTTCAGAAGGGGGTCCAGGAGGTCAGTTGTTTGCCCTGTGTGCAGCCAGCGGGCTTGGGCGCTGGCACCCCGTCTGGTTTCCTGAGCCCCATCAGGAGTGACCCGAGTGCTGCCAGCTGTGGCCCCAACACCACCCCCCCCCCCCAAGAAAAAGAGCAGTGTTCTTTCTTGTTACCCATGTTAGTTTTAGTTAATTTAATAGGCTTCAAGAAAGTTCCATTCAGTTTATTAGGAAAAGGTTGTAGACTAAATACCTGCATTAGAACATAAGCCCTGCAGGGCAGAGACACCATTGTACTCAGAGCTGTATCGCAGGAACTTGAAACACTAGGATAATAGCCCTCTAATGACTTGTTGACACACAAGTAACCTGTAATAATAGATTTATACGAGTAATACTGTGAGGCTTTCAGAGAAGATAGTTGTTCAGAGACACAGCACGTGCCCTGGCACCCTGGGACCCCGTGTCCCCTGTCCAGTGTCTCCCCACAGCGTCACTGGGTGACACCTGAGTGCCACAGTATTGAACTGAGCGCTGTGCTCACAGGCCTGGCCCCCTGACCTGGGTCGCCAGGAGTGGCCCGGCGGCGCCTGTTGAGACACGTCGACCCCTCCTCAGGTTTGTGTTGCGTAGCCGCGTCCTGTGTGAGCTGAAGGCGGCCCCTGTGTTGGGAATCGTATTCTCACACCTTCCTGCTTCTCTCCACCCCGCGAGCCCGTCGGGGGCTTGCTGGCCAGGCTTCGGGGACCCGCAGTTCTTCTGTGGAGTCAACTGAGTTCCCAGCTCTGGTTTCCCTTCCAGCAAAGAAGGCCCCCCCCCCCCCCCCCCAAGGTCGTGTCATAAACATCCCCTTTTTTGACGTTGATGACTACTTTCTTTGGTGTTTGTGATTGGAGTCCGATCATCAGGCCTGAAGATGGCTTGAGAGCTGGAGTGCATGTCTGGAATGTGGGAGCGCGACCCTCGGGTGCCGTGCCCCGCCAGTCACACCTATTTCTACGGCCAGCCTGTATTCTTTGGGGCTCTGGATAAAGCCAGCTTAGAGTGGCTTACCACGGCTGGTGGCTAATTGTTTAGGAATTTAGCCGGCCATTTGCTAAAGTCCGTGATAGTTTAAAGAGTGGCCACGTGGAGAGTATTTATACCAGGAGAGTTTGTGGCACTTGCTGGCCTCCCTGACTCCTGAATTGATTGTTTTATTTGGGGGCTATCCCTGGTGGCACTCAGGGGTCATGCCTGTCAGGGCCTGGGGGACAGGTGTGGTGTCGGGATGACCATGACAGCCCCCATGCAAAACAAGTGTGCTGCCTGTCTACTGCCTCTCTGGCCCTGAGCTCTGTTCTGTTACTAACCTTCATTTATATCGTTTGTAGGTTTAATCTATATGCAGTGTCTGTGTACAGGTTGGTGTTAGCAGCCCCCCTTTGACTTTGCAGGGTGAGGGATTATCTCCAGCGCTTCCCACACTCGAGACTAGAGTCCTCCCTCAGAGCTGCGTTGGCCAGCTTTCTCATTTTCACACCTAAAAGTATCTCTAGAGGGGCCGGGGTGTGGCTTCTGCCCCCGGTCCTGCCCCCTCTCCCCAAAGAAGTGTCCCAAGAGGACTGAAGACACAGGACAGTGCCCGCTTTGCTCCTGGCTGGTCGCAGTTGACCCTCAGCCTGTGCTCCTTGCCACAGAGCCGAGAGTAGGCCCAGAGCACTGCCGCACGTGGCCCAGCCCGCACGTGGCCCAGCCCCACCTCCCAGATGGCTTCTTGGTAGCGTTATCAAGAACACAGCTCCCAGAAACCTCCAGTCAGGTGGCAGGCCCAGGGCTGTGTCTGCACACTCCCCGCCTGGAGGCCATGTGGGGCTGTTCCGAGGCTTGTGACGAACAGTTGATCATGGTCTCAATGCTCGTTTCTTCAGTTGCTTGTCAATAGTAAACATGTTTTTGTTCATAATCATCGACATTTTGTATTTTATTTTGTCATTCTTGACTCCTCTTCTCTCCTTTCCTTTTCTTGGGGAGAGTTTTTCTCAGTGACTTATGTTGGCCTTTTTTTTTTTTTTAAGCATTGCCCAGCTCTCCTGTACAGCCATCATTCCAGTACTTGGGGTCTTCCAGTCAGTGTGCATAGGGGGCCCAGGGCCATTCCTGCCAGTGCTCACAGCCTGTCCAGTGTCTCCCCACCACTAAGGGGGGGGACTTAGTGCTCAGCCCCTCCAGGCCACACTCGGCAGTGCTCACTAAACTTTGGAACTATCCCCAGTGACCCCCAGCCCTGGTTTAGGGGACACAATTAACTCTGAGACAATGAGTGTTACTCAAGAGCTTACTACTGACGTGTGGGGAATCTGTTTTAGATCTTTAAAAGCTAAATCGTATAAATAAGGTCTATGTTTCCCCTGTTGTTTTACTGTCTTGTTTTTCTGGTGCTGTTCTTGAGTGTAGAGCATTCTAGAATTCTGACTAAAATCCAAATTATCTCCATTTAATATGTTGTAATGTGTGTAAACTCCTTTAGCTCGGGTGATGCTAGGAGTAATCACACGTTAACAGATGTTCGTGGGCTCTCCAGGCGGCTCTCTCTCGCTGCCCGCGTTCAGTGCTCTCGAACCCCTTCCCCACCCGGGACGGCTGTTACCTTGGACGGACGGACGAAGGATGAGTGAGGGCCAGTCTGGTCGGTGATCAGTTGCCATTTATTCCATCTCTCTCTCTCCTAGCTCTCTCCCACCCTCTCACAACTCTCTCCCCAACTCGCCCCCAACTTTCGCCAACTCTCCCAGCCCCCTCCCACCCTCTAACTCACCGCAATGCTCTCCCCCCCCCCCGCCTCTCTGCCCACAACTCTGTGTCTCATTCTCCCTCATTCTCCCTAAACCTCTAACTCTGCCCTACGAGTCTCCCCAACTCTCCCTCTCCGCCTGCCACTCCCTCTAACACTCTCCAATTCTGGCTGCCACAACCCCTCAACCACCTCTTCTCTCATCCCACGTCCCAAAGCCACACCCCCCCAGCCCCAGGCAGTCTATCCAGCTTTCCTGACCACCTGCAGCTCACAAGGACAAAACAGTTCTTAAGGTGTGTTTCTCCTCTCCTTAGACCAGTAACTTAATTAACATCTTAATTCTATTTCCTAATATTTGCCATTCTGTATGGACACAGTAATAGACACATTTAGGCTCATAGGGTGACTCTCCTGAGGACATCTCGCCACTGACTCAGACTACAGTGCTCAGGCCTGATCAATCATTCCTAACCAGCAGGGTCCAAATCTAGTTATTACTTTCGGATCATGACAGAATTTGTCCATGACTATGCTCTTTTTTTTTTTCCTTTCTTTTTGGGTCACATCTGGTGTTGCTCAGGGGTTACTCCTGGCTCTGCACTCAGAAATCACTCCTGGCAGTGCTCGGGGGACCATATGGAATCCTGGGAATCAAACCCGGGTCAGCCGTGTGCAAGGCAAATGCCCTACCTGCTGTGCTATTGCTCCAACCCCCATGACCGTGATTTTAAATTACAGTTAAGTATTACGGCACTGTGGCCTGGTCCATTTCGATGCCAGGGTAGCTCACAGCTTGCCCTGGGTCCATCCAGTCCCTTGTCAGGACCCTGCTTTGGGGGATGTAGGAAGTCAGGGCAACTGAGGTTTAAGTCGAGAGTGCAGATGTCCAGGAGGTAATATTATCTGGAGTGAGTTAACTCCTAAGTTACAGGCTTGTCTTTTTAGCTGTCTTCCTGTGTCCATCCGAAAGGCAATTGCTCTGAAGTAACTAACCATGCAAAGGACATTAAGGAGAAGAGAAAATCAATATTTACAAGTCAGCAGAGTCTGATCAGGAGACAAAGGTAATTGACAGGTTGGAGAAGCAGTCACCAAACCCAAATTCCCTGCAGCCAGGGAGGAAGGGCAAACCAGTGTTATCCTGCAGTTATGTGGGATTTTTTATTTTGGTATGGTGTGTTCGAGGTGTTTCTAGGTACAAGTCTTAATCAGTTTTCAGTTCTTTGGCTTATTTAATTTGAAATCCATTTATAAGGTACTATTTTGTAACCCCGTCCATTTAGTAATTTTGTAAACTGGGGTAGAGCTCGGGACCTCCTTTCCGCACTTCTGCACTCGACTTTTGCCGTATCCCCACCCCTCTGAAGGGCATCACTGAAGTAGCAGCCTGTGTGTAGTTCCTGGGTGGGAAATGTAGTCTCCTATGTGTGTCTTACACAGAACATGTAAGTGTAGGTAGAATTGGTTAGAGAATTCTTAAGGTGAAATGATTAGGAATAACATGGCAGCAGGCCGTGAAAGGGATGAAGCCGTTAGTTTTTAAGTTGCCTTGACAGTTTATTTGTAGTATGAAATGGGCAGAACATTGGGCTGCCTCTGACCCTCTCTGCAGTCCCCAGGTGGATGGGACTGGAGTTAGAACTTTGAAAATAACCGATTAGGTTGTGTTCCCTGAGGCTGAGGAAGGTGGACTTAGCTCACATTTATAAACCTTTATGCTATTTGTGTTAAAAAATTTTTAAGTACTTTGTTCCTAATAAATATTAGATAGAGTATGTCACTCTCAGTTTCTTTCCCAGGTTCTGA